TTCTCCTCATTAAGGGACGGCTATATGATATATATATAAATATTTTCTCTCACCTTTCATTTTTTAATTGGCTTTTTGGGAGTTTTTGCCATGTGATGGAACATTTCTTTCCGCCTTTTTTTTGCCTTTTTTTTTTTTTAACGTCCGGATCGTGTGTCGTTTGTTTTTTTTTTCACCGTTCCTCTCTTTGTTATTACTATTTTTTAATAAACAAAAATTTGGACCATTTCTCGATTTATGCCTGTCATCCTTGCGCAGGGCCCATTTGCTAATAATTACCCTTCTCTGTATCGTTCCAATTTTAACGGATGTCCCGAAGGACCCGTTTCTCCATTCTGGGTGTGTCGAGCCTCGCTCAGTGTGGGTTACCCTACTAATAATGGGGGTCTTTTTTTATTTTTTATTTTTAATGGGAACAAACCTCCATGTGCGGGCTACTTTTGAGCGAAGTGTGCGGCAATTGCCAGCCAGTGTCCGTGCGGCGTTGTTTGTGGTGTGCGTCGAGTTTGGACTCCACAGCCTCTGGAGGGGTGGGGCGGATATCATGATCGGTATGGTTCCGTTGTTGAGTAGTGTGTCCTGGCTGTGGTGGTTAAGATACTCTTTTTTTTTTTTTTTTTTTTTTTGTTATCCAATTAGTGGTGAAGATACTTGGCTCGTGAGTAAAAAAACAGAAAGTTTTTTTTTTATAAATCCAAACAGTGGTTAAGATACGTGGCAGGTGAGTATTTTATTTTTATTTTTATTATTATTATTATTCAAATAGTGGTAAGGATACTTGGCTCGTGAGTAAAAAAAAACAAAAACAAAAAAAAAAACCTTGGCGCGTGAGGCCGAGGTAGCCGGTTTGAGTCCGTGCTTGGACGGAGGAGTGGGTGAGGACCAGAGGTACAGATACATAGGCATCCTTGCACATGCAGCAGGGGCTATGGTAACATATTAATTCATTTACGGGGTAACTTCGGCGCAGTCACGAAAACAGTTTGTAATTGCACTTCAGGCAATCCCGCGAATACAACACCTCCCCACCCGACCCCACCGGACCCAAAACGTAGGTCGTATACATTCTGCATTACCGGCCGTTTTGCCTCAGCTGCAATTACAAACTCAAACCCTGACTGCGCCGTAATTTTCTCTTCATTTATATGTCACAGCCTCTCGTTTGTTGTCCTCTTCTCTCTCTCTGCCTACGGTTTACCGGGCAGTTCTGTTTGTGACGATATATATATATTAATTCGTTTTCTCTTTTTTCATTCATTTTCTATTTTTCCTTCTTTCATCGTTAATTACTTTTTTCTGTTTTTTTTTTTTTTTTCGGCATCGCTTTGCAGTCGTCCCAAGTTGAGCAGGGGCGAAGTCCCACTAGCAACGGGATAGGATTGAAACGACTTTGTGGGGGGGTTGAGTGACCCAAATCCTGCCGTGCACTACTTGTGATCCCACGGTCAGTATTTTACATGTATTACCCGAAAAAGTAAGGACATCTTCGTTCCCGTTCTCCTCTCCTTAACACTGGGCATGCTCGTGCAAAGAAAGCTTCCCGCCAGAATCTTTTCAATCGGTTGGGGGTGTGGCCAACCCCAAAGGAGGGTGGGGTTGGCCTTAGGCCCACTGGATAGAAGATTTTCAGTATTTTACTTGCTGTTGTGCAATTATCTCATTTGGTGGAGCCCTCTTTCAATCACGGAGTATATGGAGGGTGTCAAGATCACTGCTGACTGAAGTCGAGTTTATTCCAGATAAAGAAGTGGCAGCTACGTTGTTCACTGTTGTTGCAACCACCACCATCAGATCATTTGTGATCTGATGGCTGGGAAGCACTCTGCCGTCATTTCCGGTGGGAGGTCTCTGTTTCTTTTTTTTTTTCTTTTGCCTTTCTCCTGTTTGCTCAGCCCAGAAATTCGTAATAAACCTGTCTGGCCGCTGCCACTCAGTGTCACACTGGATCGGCCACACTCCTATCCCACTGCTAATGGGACCTCGCCCCAGACGGATGTCCGGCGCAGGGCTTTTTTTTTTTTTTTTTTTCCCCTTTGGAGTTAGGCTACGAGAGTGGCCCGGGGTCACTTGCCCGGCCAGGCCAAAAAATAAATAAATAAATAAATAAATAATTATTTTACATTTGGCGAAGAATTTCGATGTTACCCTGAGGCAAAAGTTGTTCAGTTGATTTTTCTGCATAACATAGTTTTTTTTCGGATTTTTTGGATTTATTATTATTATTATTTTTTGCTGGGACCTTCCCTGGTCCTTGCACGGGCTGGCCACCAGGGACCCGGGCGGCCCGCTGGTAGCCTAGCTTTGTAGTCATTATGGCCCTCGCCGCACCACTCTCCAAATGTGAAAAAAAGCAAAAATGTGGCGGGTGCATCTGGCCCTGTTCTAGCAGTAAGTTCATTCTCATTTTAAGCACACTTCGAGAGTGGTTTCCGGATGCCCTATGTCAGTTTACTGTCCAGGGGGTGATATGAAACCCCCCCCCCGGGATTGGAGTCTGCACTTTGATGCCTCCGGTCCATTTGTGGGGAGCTGGATGACTGGAACTGGGTCCGCCGTCCCATATATAACACACAACTCATGGAGAGAAGAATGCAGCTTGAATGCCTGAATCCGGACGTGTTTGTGCACAGGTGCAGGAAATCGAGATAGAACTGCTTTTCTGCATCTCTGCGTAAAACACATCCAGATTCAGGTATTCAATCCGATCCTCTTTGCTAGTGGGACCATGCTCCAGGGGGTGATATGAACCCCTCCCCCCCCCGGGATTGGAGTCTGCACTTTGATGCCTCCGGTCCATTTGGGGGGAGCTGGACGACTGGAACTGGCTGGGCCCGCTGTCCCATATATACACGGAACTCATGCAGAGACCCAGTTCCATGTACCGCCTCCCCCCTTCGAGGGACTCTTCTACTCGTTGCAATTTTCCCCTGCAAGAAAAAATAAAGGAAACAAAAAAAAAAAAAAACGCAAATGAGAGCCTTGAGAAACCGCACTATGTGTCCAAAGGAGAAGGTACAACAAGCACATCATCAGGATGCAAGCACATCATCAGGATGCACCGTGCAGCAAAATGCATCCACATTCATTCACACAAATGGTGAGGTGACAATCTGCACTGTGAGGGTTGAGGGTAACCTCCTGCTCCCAATCCTGTCCTGTTTTTTCTGTTGTATTCAACCACCAGTACCTCTGAGCCTGTTTTTGCCGACCCTGATTTATAGTGCGCGCCGAATTTTGCCGAGCCTGTGTCCCGCGGAACCTCGGACTCTGTTTCTGTTTTTTTTTTTTTTTGAAAACGGTAACGTTTCCACTTGTGGCCTTGTCGTCCTCCTGTACGGTCCAACGAATGGACACGTCTATGGGCGTGATCCCTGTGGTTCCTGGCATGTTTCGTGGCCGGAATTTTTTTTCTTTCGAATCTGTGTAATTTTTTTTTGTTTTTGCAGGCCCCGACCATCGTGTCGCTTTGCCGGCGACCGGTAGCGTGGAGTGCTGGCTGGTGGACGTCGGCACGTTTGCCGATGGAGGGACGCGGCCGTTTG